CTACTGGTTTCTGCCAGAATGAACAGACAAGATCTTTTATTAGTCTAACTTCCTTAACTGTAACTGTTTCTTAATCCTTTTCACTAGTCACTCAAAATGACAGTTTTGAGGAAGAGAATACTTAGAGATGTTAATTTCTGCTGAAATAACTGGATTCAGAAGGTGATGTCTCTCCCTAGTTTTAAGAACTTACTTTGTTTTTTATTGAGTCAACCAAATAAATGAAAATCAAGTTAACTGAACTCAGATGTGTATGGGAGGGGAAGAGTTAGAAGCACTAAATTAGTGGGATGCAGCTTTTTGTATTTTCTAGTATTCATTGGACAGTCTGTAGCGAGTTTTTGTCAGATTGTGTTTGTCTAGCAGATAGGATGTAGCATCTGGAAATGGGAGATGAATATCTTGTACTCCTTAAGATACTTCAAAATACCTAACTGAAAATTCTTCAGATGGATATAATTGAAATATAGGGCTCTGAGACATGTGACACTTAAGTTTGTCTTTGAGATGGAGAATATTTATGGTTAACTCTTCAAGAACCAGAAGAGTCTGTCCTAATACTTACCAGTAATTGCTATGTTAGATGTTTTAAGTTTTTGTGGCCGTTGCTTCTGAACTGTTTGCTTAGTGATTAGCAAAGCAGAAGAACCCAGGAACCAATAACATCTTTAAAGGGTCTTGCAGCCAGAGATCACTTTTGAATTTTAGAAGAGGTCCCTGACCACAACATACAATAATGAAAGGAAATAGTTAACTTCTCTGGCTAGTGTTCAAAGTGAATATATTAATGTATTTTGGCTGCAGTACAGTCTTGGCAATGCAGAGAGACCTATAGACAGAAGCAGTAACAATTCCTTTATATATTAACTTCTCAATTATGTAATTAAGATGATTGAACAGATTTCCTTTCAGTCATTAAAAAGAACAGGTCATAAGAAAACCTTTAAAACAAACTTCCTTGACAAATGCAAATAATGAAAAAACTGATAAGAAATAATGAAGACAAAATGTTTTATGTCCTATCTCAAAATGACATCTCTTGCACATTAGCAGAAATGGTTAGCATCTTTGGGTGCCCTATCCATCTGTGGGGTGAAGGTAGTGGGAAGGTGTGGTGGCACTCTAAAGGCCTTGACTTTTGACTGAAAATTCCACAGACCTAAGGGGTTGGGGCCAGGTCAATAACTAATCTGGGAATGTCAGTGAGAAGTCCAAGGTGCCATACTAAAAGATTACCTTGATAGCATGGTAATCCATCTATGTGCAATGCATCATCTGCAGCTGAAAAGGGAGACTTGAACTTCTGAACTTGTAAAAAACCATCAGGGTTGTTTAATGCAGAAACAGGGAGTGTCAGTTTGAAATATAATGCAAGTACACTGCAACCTTAACTATTCTCACCAGCCTCCAGCATAAAAGAGAGTATCCTTTTCAGGGCAGTAATGAGTCTTACATACTTGAAGCTTATCTTACCTTTTTTGATACTGAAGGTTTTACTTTCCTAAAAGCTTCTTCAAAGTGTTTACAGGAAATCTTGATTTCTCCTTGAAGAACAAAGCATAATAAATGACTAAATCAAATTGCAGGCAACTGACAATCAATTGATTTTTTGCATGTATTTTAAGGTAGCATTCATGAAACCCAGCTAACTGCATGTGCTAGTCAGCTGGATGAAATCTAATTCAGTAGTGTTATGAACACCTGAATTCTTATGTAGCCTCCTGCCTATGATCTTAGGCAAGATCTTAATCCCTCTATCCCTGTACCTTAAGCAAAAGAATACTCACTTGTTTTAGAAAGTTATTTTAGAGATTAATGTTTCCTCCTGCAGATGGAGAATTTCATTCTCAAAGATGCCAAGTTAACTGCAGTTTACATGAAATCCAGTTAGAATGAATCCCTTAACCCTTCTGGAAGTGAATGCCTCAAATCCTGCTGCTTCCACTTCTGGGATTTATTTTCTATACATATTTAATATTAAGTTTCCAAGAAAACATTTTGTTATCATTCCGGTTCTTCTACAGGATGCTCAGTTCCTAAATTCTTGACTTCATATCATTGCCTTGTCTGGCATTACACAGAAGTCACAAAAGCTGTCTTTACTTTCAACTCCCTACCTTTAAGTTTATGCAAATCCCCCTTTTGACCTTAATGCAGCTTATCCACAGTAATTATTCCTAATCATAACTTTTAGAACAGGCTTTTTTGTTGTGTGCTAAAATGTAAGCATACCTCAAATCATGGATTCCTCTGCTCTCAAGCAAGTGCCTTGTTTAATCTAGGATTAAGAATCCCAAGATACTACTACTATACAGATTCATTACATTGCTAACATTATGCACAGGTATCAGATATGATACAGGTGCAAAAAGTATGTTTTGAGTCAATTTGGTGCCTTTTTAAATGTATTTCATTAAGACACTTTTTGCTTCCAGATATGTACTGCCACTACCTTTGCATCCATCTTTGTAGTGTGAAATGGGATGTGCTGACATGAAAAAACTGTTAAGATTCCTCATTAATGTATTTGATGTCTGAGTTTTGCTGTATCAGCAGAAGATTTTTGTTAAAGACTATGTAGCAGATGGAAGGCACTAAATTAAATGAGAACTTGTTTAAGGTATGAAACAGAAGAGCAAATAGTCTACAATTATTATTACTTGCTTTAAAAGTAAAGATGAAGGTTAAAATTCACTGAACTAAACATACAACCTAGTTGTGCTCTCATCTCAGCTCTCTGAAACTCTTATTCAAGATTTCCATTACCATATAAAGTTATACCAGTATAAATGAAGATGTAAATTTAAAATATCAGCATTTTAACTTACTTCCCCAAGGAAACACTACTTACAGTAAGAAAAAGTTCAACTTGGGTCCTTCACAGAAGCCAAATTAAGATAGTAATCAAAACTCCATAAAATAATAAAATGGAGCTATGAGAATTTCATTTTGCTTTCACACTTGTTTTTAAGCCTGTAACTTTTTAATCAAATTGTGAAATAATGTATAGCCTCAACTATAGGGAGGGAAGAAAAGGAAAGGAGAAAACAGTGTTAATCAGCTAGGAAGATCAGTGTCACTAAGGACATGGTTATCAGAAAACATCAAGGTGAAATAGTCCATGATACTAATACAATAGTATTAGCTATGGCTAGGTATAAACATACTTTTACCTACTGCTAGGTAAAGTAGTTTACCTCTCACTGAAAGTCAGTTAGGCTACTTCATGCTTATTGTGTGATAAAAGCAGGCACAATGCTTGATACTGTGGAGAACTTAGCTGTCAGAACTTGGCTACTTGCATTAACAGTTTGCCTTGATTTCTGATGACAAAACCATTTATTTTGAATAAGTAAGAATGTTTTATTAGTCTTATTTAAAATAAGTACTTAAAACACCAAATGTTTTTTCCTATTTACCTAGATGAATGAAGGATAGCTGGTTCCCTTTCCTCTTGATTTGAAAGTATCAAACAAGGACCAGCTCTTGCTTTTCAAATTCAAATGCAAAGATACAAAACTTTAATCTCACTTGCTAAACCACACTCACTCTTAACTGCTGTAACAAGAAGTCTCATAGACTCTGCTTAAGAATATCACCTTTACAGACTATGTAGGTGATGCGAGGTCACTGGCTATCTTTTAAACAAGTGTAATATATAAAAAGGGATACGTAGGGATAAGGTCATGGTTTAGGTCCATGAATTCTCTGCATTTGTTTTTGCAGCTGAAAGTGTTAAGAGATTTTCATACACTATACATTCCTTGTAACTAGATCTATTTGAAATAAATATACAAGAAGTATTAAACTAAAATAGGTCAGTTAACATCCTAACAGGAAGTTGGTCACCAGGACCAGATGGTGTTTACCCAAAGGTTCTGAAGGAACTTGTCTATGAAACTGCAGAACTGCTGGCCAAATCTTGTAACCTGTTGTTATAGCTACCAGAGGACTGGTAAACTCCAAAGAACTGTAGGAAAGGATCCTTTGGTGGACTGAAAGCTGATTAAAAGATATGATATAGCAAGTAAGGCTTAGTGGTCACTTTTCAGGATAGGGAACAGGCAACTCAGGTATTGGAGCTGAAATCAGTTTTATGCAGTATCTTCATCAGTGGTTTGGAAAAGGGAGCCAGATGTGGAAACTCTTAAGTTTGGAAATTACATCGAACTCTTCTGGGCAGTCAAATGCTGGGCCAGAGGAGGAACTTTAGAATGATCTCCTAAAACTGAAAATCTGCCCCTTCTTTATTAGGATCCCCCTGCTCTTCCCCCAGACAAACTGCAGTTATCTGTCAACTCCCAGACCACAGTGACTGACATAATCAGCTCTCTAGGACTGTTCAAGTTGGAAGCAGAATTTATGGGTTCTTACAAGAAATACCACAAGAATGATATCCTTCCCTTTCACTATAGAAGTCCTTTCAAGCAAACCACTGATGAATGTTTGAAAAAAAACCCCAACAAACAAAAAACACAACACACCCCTGAATTTATGCCAGGGGAAAAATACCAGGTATAACAAGGAAGGTGCATGGGAACTTTTACAAAATCCAAAATCTCAGCCAGGCAATTCCAAAGTACAGACTGACAAGGACACACAGCACCCATCTACAGTCCCATGGAGAGGGGAGTGTGGGAGGGGAGTCAGTTGTGTACCTCCTATGGTAACACTGAAGGAAGAAAGACTCTAGTCTCTGTATGCACACTACTACTTTGAAGATATAAATGAAGGTCTCAAGTCAGAAACCACCTTACACATGTTCATACCACCTAGGGCTGACATCTTGGGAATCCAAACCCAAAGCCATCCCAAACAAGCAGCTGTTACAAACATGCAGATCAGGCTATGCATATATTACGGACTTGCTGGCTGCCAACACATCCATACAATAAATAATCAGGCTGCAGTCCTAAATGTGAAGACTGAATTGAAGTGATTAACATCTTTGATCAAGCCTGCTGTATTCTGGATAATTATAAACACAACCAGGACAAACTCAGAAATTTCCATCTCAAAAATCAAGAGCTTTTTCCATCTACAGCAAGCAAAATGGGTGACCAACTTATACAACAGTGAAGGTTTTTATAGTTTGTTTCATTCCCCCCCCTCAAATGAACATGCTAGTTCCCTCAGAACAAGAAATACAAACGTTCTGCTCTGTTAACCTACTGTTGTTAAAAACCAGGTAAGACTGGATATGTACAGATCAAAAAAGAATGATCCAAAGCCATTAAAATTCCAGTGTGGTTCTCGGAGGCATAATGAAAGCCTGTATTTTCCAAGGACATAATCTGAAAAGTAACAATTCTGTCTGAGCTTTGCATTTTGACTTAGGGGTAAAATAACAAACAGAATTAGTGCAGAAGGATCTAGATACACACGTATTTTAAATTGTTTTTTTTTCTGTGCAGATAGGAAAATGTAATTGGAAAGTGAAACTCTTTTGTATAAAAAACAGGAAAATACAACTTAAAATGAAAGTGCAGAGAGATATGGCAAGAGCGGACATGGTACTTGAAACAATTTATAACTCCCTGTTAAAGTCCTGGCAAGAGCCACTGATGAGCTGAACACCTAAGAACAAAAATGGCACTCAAGATTTTCCTAGCGCCATTATACTAGATGCATGTATTCAGTTACACAATACAATTGTGTGCCAAAGGTATGTGATCAGTATGTGTGCAGTTACAACTGTACTCAAATCTGCAAATAAGTCAGTATAATTAGTCTTTGATAGTGATGTGGAAATTTGGCAAAGACTGAATATCTAGACTAGACAATATAAATTGTCAGTTTATACTACCATTTAACATATACTTTTCTTTAAGGTTACAAGGTTCAATTCTTTTAGGGAAAAAAAAAAGTTTATGCTGAACCTCCAGCATAACCATTTTTCTCTGTACTCTCCCCTACATCTACTTCAAAGATGCTTATGTGTTCTTGAAACAAACCTGACAGTTTTTGTTTGGCTCAGAAGTCATCAATCATTTATGTACAGCATTCATACATCTGTGCTTGTCTTGAACTACCTTAAATACTTCATATTCCATTTATCTTCTCACTGTTCAGTTAAGATTTTTGTAAAGCTTTCTTACCTTCCTTGCTTTTAGTATTCTGCAGGGCCATTTCCTGTCTCAAAGCACAAATTGAAGCCTCACGCACGAGTGCAGAAAGGTCTGCCCCTCTACAGATACAAACAGAACACGTTATTTTAGCATAAATTTCTCTCATCTTTTGCTGATGGCATATAGAAAGGTAATAAACTACACATGATGGTAAAGAAACTGGTTGTGTTGTCATAAAGGTTCATCTTAAGAACACTGGAGAGAGATTCGAGGACTACCCAGTGCTGCAACCTTCATTATGGAGTGACGTTGTCCAGATTTAGCCACAGATTAAGATCAAATAAATGAGAAGCAAGGGAAGAGGCAAAAACCCCACCCAGCATCCTTGAAAATGCCACAGGATTGATTAACGTTGTGCCACTTGGTGGGAACATGATACATTTTTTTTGTATCAGTCTTACGAAAGATTCAAATGGAACCACGAATTATTACAAAAGGGAGCTGCCTTGCTCAAAGCTGGATCAACAGTTAACATGCTCTTAAGGTAACAGTATCCACGAAATACGGCCAGATCACTCTTTCTAAATATTTCTTTCCAGTTTCCAGCTGTTAAACTTTTCACAAGCCTTCAAACTGGTGCAAGTCACTGAACCAAAGAAAATTTTCACAAGTAACTCCTCATGCTTCATTTGGGGATGCTGGGAATAGTACTGTATTTAAAAAAACAAAACAAAAAAAACAAAGACAAAACCCCACAAAAACTCACCCCACAAACAACATCTAAAACACAAACTGAAACATAACAAAAAAACCCTCACCAAAAAACCAAAAACCACTTCCCCTGCCAAAAAAAGACAGTGAGCAAAAGGGGCAGAGAAGGAAAAAGTACTCATGTTTCCCAAGTACGAAACAATGACAAACTAACTATCATTACTGGTGATAGCTTCCATTTCTAAGATTCAAAAGCAATATTGTGACAAGCAGCACGTCATAAACTTCATCGTTTTTGAACTCCAGAAAATCATTCACTATTAATAAATAATTTAATAGATTAACGCATTTCGAAGTTTTGTAGAACACAACTGCAAATTATTCAGACCAGATAAGGCTATCACGCTTTCCTAAAAACCACACCTTGGTATTCCCAAAGCAAACGTTGAAATAGGCCCTCGTTACTTTGTCAAACATATTGCTTTCAACTGTGTGACAGAACTAGTTGGTTACGGTTGTTTAACCAATTTGCTTTCATCATCATTGTATATGGGTCTACAACTTAAACAGGGCTCTTTTATCCTCAGATTATGCAAGAATTATAAAATAAACCTAAGCAAAGCCTGAAAAAGTAGCCTCTACTGATCTGTATTTACAACACGAAGAGGACTATTCCAGGTGAAAAAGACTTCAGCATCCATATATTCTTATTTACTCCTTGGAAAAAAGCACAAGTGAAAGCAAGAAAAATAGCGTTAGGGAAAAGGCTTATAAAGCCTGAAAGTTAAGAGATCCTCTTAATAATAACAACATAACAGACATTATCATGCATCAGAGGACTGCTGGCACTGCACATGAAAGTCAAAACTAGAAGCTACTCACGTATAACAATCACAATGTTGACTGTAAGCAATTTCTTCAAGGCTTACATCAGTATGTAGTGGAGGCCGGGTGCCATCCTAAAGGAGTTGAGATAATAAAAAGAGGAAGATAGGAATTTTTTTTTTTTTGACACATGCTATCCCCAAAGTGATTAAATTTCATCTATCAGGAATCATATAAGGGTCTGACAAATTTCCTGAAATAAAATATCCAAATATTAACATTGTTTTTAATCTCAAACTGACACGAAGGACGAGTCTTAAAACCATTTAATTATGAAATAATAAGTAATGCTACATTTTAACTTCCCACCAACAGATTAGATTTGCTCCAACAAAATGGTGGCCAGCTTGTCACAGGGCAATATGTGGACATGCCTTCAGTAGCTGGTTACATCAGCAGCATTGTTTGGCTGAACTTCCTCTAGTTTTACTATGTGTTGCAATCAAATAGCTAAGCAATAAGCATGTAGAATTAATCTTATCTCCTCACCTTTAAGACTGAATTAATTGTATATCTTTTATGTTCTAGACATGTTTTCAAATGTCGTTTTAAATTCTGTATTTCACGAAAGTTTACATATACTGTAGACATTCCTGTAGACTTTTTGACGCTACTCTTCCATATTAATACTGCTTCATCCAAGATGCCAGAAGTGGTTTCTTTTGTTATTATTTTTGCATCTCCAACAGCAGAAAATATTGAACAACATTATAATTTATATTTGAAACTAGCCAACAAAATTTTCAAACACTGTAAGCATGGAGATCTCCCTATTACTCTTAGACAACAGTGAAGTAGTATCATGGTAGTACAGAGATTCTAGATGTCTATAGTATCAAGCAATATCCGAACTTAGACATGAAAGGACACTTTTTGATATAATTGATATATTTCTGCCAGAAACTCATTTGACAGAAATACAGGAATTCATATAATTCTCTTCTGACTTCTTCAGGTGAATTGATATACCACATACCTACAATACCTTAAAGAGGGGAAAAAAAAAAAAAAGTATAGTAATTGACAAGTTAAAACCCTTGAATACTTAACAGACACTACTAGAATAATCTAGGACTAGGCAGAGCAAGGAAGCAATCCTGAATAAATCTTTGGTAGAATACTAGATAGGGGCAAACAAACAAACAAAATCAACAAAAAGACAAAGGAACAGCCTGATTTTGAAACACCTTGAAAGAAGATACTTTAACCTGGAAACAAGGAAGCCTTGCACAATTTCATATGGGATAATTTAGTAATAGTTGTACAAGACTGCAAGCCAGAGAGACACCTCCTCCACTAAAAAGAAATGTTTTACCTATTGGTTTGAGTAGCAACGTACGTTGGGCATTTTTTGAGTGGGATGATCTGCCTACTCTGCAGACAAGCTCAGCAGTACGTGCACCAGAGAAGCTTGATACAGCTTGCAGAAATGTAAGTACACTAGTAACTTAGACATGTGAAAACATGCTTCTCTTGCATAATTAATACGCAATTTGAAAATGACTGATTTATACAAGTTAACTGAAATAAAACTCTTTCACAACAAAGCCTGACCCTATGTTTAGGCTGTCTGTCTTCCTTATGATCTATTCCTCCCCCTAACTCCCTTTTCTACTCCTCAGGCTGCCTCTGTAAGCACCCATGTTTTCCCTCAGCAATGATTCTCAGTTTCCACATCCTGTGCATGTATTCCTCAGGGATTTCTGGGAATGCATACTGTCACCCAGAAGCTGCTCACATCTGCACCAAACATTTTGTTTTATCGAGCCCTAGGCACATATTTAAGCAAGTGTTCCTGTACACAAATTTTTTGAATTTCCTTATCTAGAATGCATGGATCAAGTCTGACAAAAAAATAAGGTATTTTGATTAATTTAACATATTTTCCTCTCTCCATATTCCATGTTCTTCTTGCAGATCACTCCTATACATTTTTAAAGAAAATAACAACCTATTTCTTGTTCTTAACACTAGAAATACAAATCTTTGCCTAGCTTTATGAGAACTCTGGTGACTGCAGGAGTAGTAAAATGAGAACAGCACCAGCCTCCCATGGAATGAATATGGAAACGCCAAGGAAAAGACTCATTCAGAGAGCATTTTTATCTCATTTCTGCTGGCCTCTTAATTAAGAGCTGAGGGAAAAAAATCCATTAAAGACTTAAGAACTCATCACTACAAAGATTTGTAACCAAAATATTAAGACTACTATGAATTAAGTATGCAGGGAAGTATCTCACATTCCAAGAATAGCATGCCCTGATAACCAAGGACAGGATCCACAGGAACCAAGCTGGTAAACACTGTGCAATGCGTTGCTTACATCACAAGGCGGTCCATAATCAGATAAGGCCACAGCAAAGATGGTTTGTCAGCAGAAGACACATATGCTCTGATAACAGGATAATGACAAGATTACCACATCACATGTGGCACTCCTCTTGGTGTTATCTCAACAGACTGTACCCACAAAGATTCCCAGAAGGAAGGAGCAAAGACACTTTTCAGCAACCTTGCCCAAGACTTGCTGCAGCTGAAATAAGCACGATTATGAACTGTTTGATTCTTAAAGGGAATCTAGAAAACAGTTCTCTAACAACCAGTTAGTCATCGCCAGTCAAGAGGAAGCCAAGAGATGAAGTGAGAACACAGAGTTCCTTATCCTCAGTGTTGCACACAAGCGATGCTGGCCCTACCACTTGGATGCATGCATCTCAGTGACTATATGTGGCTGTTAGAGTGTGAGCAAGTGAAATCCATGAGAGAGTGAGAGAAATCAGTTCTGCTTAATACCACCCTCCCCTCCCATAACGTCTTGCACCACACTTGGCTGCACTACTTTCCTGCACCACTAATTACAGTGAGAGCACTTGAGACAGTTACAATTCTCCAAAGATTGTCCAGCAAAAATTAGGGACAGCAAGGCTCAACACCTGTATGTTAAAAACCAGAGCAGATGTAAACTGTACCAGAATCCTGCTCTGTTTAGACAGTCTAGTTACTGACCCTTACTACCCACTTCTTCCAGAAGAACAAGGTTGGTTGTATTAAGTCAGAACAATCATATAAGCCCAATTTTTAAAGAACACCAAATTATCTTTAAAAATAAATGGGTAAAATAAAAATGTAATTCCTTACAGTATATTTGAGAAATTATTAACGCATGTTACACTCAAATTCTCTCTAGGTCTTTTAAAAGGCAACCGTTTTTAAGAACAGGGTTATAAGAAGTTTTAACTGAAAAATCTTTATAAAATTTAGAAACAATAAACTGAGCTACTGCTAATAACAAATGGGGGCATACTTTTTTTCTCCATGAAGTAATGCACAGAACAAAAAGGGAAGTCTAACATCCTGAATTTGTAATGAGAGTCTGACTTTTGAACAATTATTTTGGCATGAAAGGACATGCTTGAATGAGTCCTCACTTTCTTAATTCTCCTATGGGATTAACTGTTGCCTACACCACAACTTTATGCTTATGCAAGTCTGAATTATCTTTTTTACAAATTTGCTAAGTAATTTTTGCAACACTTTTCATAATACAGCGCTATCTTTTCTCTATAGTGAAGACTGGTCTCCTTTTCAGCTAAAAAAAAATCTGATAGGACACCTGCTCTTAACAATCAATGCTGATCTACTGGAAAAAGTAGGAAATATCTAAGTAATTCATAATGTTTTGTATGTTCTTTTTTTATGGCCTTGATTACTGCTGTACAATACTTACAGAAATATTAAAATAGAATTCTATAATGCAAATCTCTGAAGTGGCAGAATGTGCCATTAACCAAAGGGAGGACCCATGAAGGCAGGTATTTTACATTTTCACATTTACTTTGACCTACAACCTCTATCATCACAAGCTTCCTTTAATCCTAGAGGCAATTAAGTGTCACAATTACTGTTGAGCAAATACAGCTGGAGCTAGTGAATAATTTTGGTGAATTGTATGGACCGCCCCCCAAGCTTACAAAACACTTCTAGACCCATTACTCACACAGATAAGAATCTTTTAATTAAATCTGTTCAAACTGTGACTATAAAGGCAGCAGTTTCTATGTTTAACAGAAACATAGAAAGGTTTGCCTTAAAAGATTTATCAACCCCTTGCAGTCTTGGAGCAAATTTAACAGCAGATGGGGCTGGTTTTTTTTTTTATGACCTCAAGTGTTTAATGAGACAGGATCCTGCAATGCTCTGCAAAATTTAATTTGTATTAAACCATTCCACTAAGCTTTGAGATAAGGATTTATTTCCAAATACTCACTTTGGTGATGGTCTTTAAAATAGCAAGTCGATCTTCAGGTGGTGGCAAACCCACATAGAGTGTTTTATCCAGTCTACCAGGACGCAGGATAGCTGGGTCAATTATATCTGAGGGAGGGAAAAAAAGAGAAAGAAAAAAATTATCCAGAAATGAGATACACCCTTAGGACAGTGTACACATGAGAAGGAGTATGTACATACTTGTACCAAGATTCAAAGAAGCATTTGTGCCATGATGTGAAGCCGAGCATTAAAATAGCTGATTGAAATAGTTTCATCTCTCAAGTAGGAACCTCTATTACCCAGTACAGTTAAGCCACATCCGCTCAAAGATGGTTCATAAATACCAGTTTCATCTCTTCACTTGTGAAGACAAGTCTGTCTTTGCCTACAGTACTAGAACATTTTTACTGTCGTACCTAGCATGGTCAAGTGAGGAATTACACATTAATTCATAACAAGGGGAAAAAAATGCTTCCAGTTTGTTCTGTTGGAAGGAACTCCAATAGAATTAACCATTGCAATTTTCCTTGAAAGGCACAGTGATAAATTAAGAATAACAAGTACAAGAGCCAATCATAAGCACCCATATGTAAACTTAATTTTACTGGTCATTTGCATTTCTACTACATATTAATTTTCTGAATGGTAAAATAGGAAACCCATGAAAACACAAAATAGAGCTGCAAAGTACAGCATTTGTTTTCCAGGAAAAGCTACAGACTCCAGATTTTACTATGTGTGGAGAATTAAGAAAACAAAAATCATCACAAATGTTTCTAGAAAACCATTCAAAGCTTAAATGTAACAGAAATGTCTAGCGGCCTTTTAGCATCACAGGCTTCAATACCGAACTTCTACAAACAGTAAGTCAGGTTATATGTGACTTTTATATATAAGTCACATATGTTATACCAGTTGGTATAACAAGAGATACAAACAGGACATATAACCTGGGAAAGACCTCAATTCCTGCCTGTATTTCAGCACAAACTGCCTGGATGATATTTTTAAATGCTTCTTGATGCCCCTTTTCCCCATCTACCAGCAATGATGATGCTTGCTCTATTTCACTAAGAAATTCTATTGAGTCACCATCCCTGGAGGTATTTAAAAGACATGTAGATGTGGCACGTAGGGACATGGTTTAGTGGTAGACTTGGCAGTGTTAGGTTAAGGGTTGGACTCAACGATCTTGAAGGTCTTTTCCAACCTAAATGGTTTGAGGATATCCTACATAATACAGTAATGTCAACAGCAAAGTCACCAAAGCACCCATACAAGATAAGAAAACTGTACTTTTAGTATAACAGACTTTAAGACTGTAAGTTATATAGATGTGTTAGGTACCTATTGCAAGAATTTTATCCAAAAGTAACAGTTGAAAGTCACACCTAAGCAAGCTGGAAACTATCAAGGACTCAAAAGAAGCTGTCAATTGAGCCCTTACAATCATTACATCCTCTTGACAAAATGTAGCTAACAAACTATATGCATTCATGTATATTAAAGGTGAAGACCTGGGAAAAATTAAGCTGTTAATCCCTACTGTACAGATGTTTAAAAGGAAAAAACCACCAAAACAGAAAAACCACCACCCAAGCCCCAAAACAGTAGCATGGAAGCACAGCTATCCCTTTTTTGCAAATGAAAGAAGTTTGCATAACCCTGTCAAGACTCCAAATACCTGATCCTACCACAATGTAGTCTTGATTCACTTTCTAAAGACGTGCATAATTTTGTTCAAGTTACTCTCTCAACTATGCTTAAAGGACAAAAAGTAGAATGAGATGCATACCTTATATTTCCCCCCCCCCCCCCCCCAGTCATGGCCAGAGGCGTCTATATAGGCAAAAATCAGCTATTGCGAATGCGACAGGAAGAGTGAGGAAAAAAAAAGGGAGGACTTGATGTATTAATTTAATCCAGATCAGATAAAACAAGGGTTAAACAGAATCCCTGCCATGGCAGGGACAGACAAAAACATCTTTCTTATAAGTCTGTGCATAGTGCTACAGGATACTTTATTTTCCTTTTGGCACAAGTACACTCTCCTGTTTTTGTGACTTCCATCTCTGTGGATGGAAGTCTTGTCACATTATTAAGATGAGATGACAAAGCTCTCTCAACAGATCAATCACAGACATCAAAACAAATACTCTCAATGGGGAATGCATTACGACACCACACACTTGATAATTTCCCCATTCTAAAGTTTCAAAAGCTCTTCAAAAACATTACGCTTGATATGGAAAATACTGTTCCCATTTTGCATGCTGAGAACATCGCACTTGCCACGCTATTTGTCCAATGATAGGAAGTTAGCAATATGGTCTAAAGATGAATTCATCCATTTGTACATAAATTATTACATTGCCTGCATACAAAGAGTCACCACAACTCATACTAACTCAATAAGCTGCAGTAATGGTGGTTTACAACGAGAGGACTGTACCAAAGTTTAACACACAGATCTACACTCCCCATCTCCTTCTAAGTCAATTCACTTCACACTGCTGGCTCAGTCCTGGGCCTGAAGTTCTTGAAAATTCAAGTCACGTAACACAGAAAATTAGTATTTACTCATTGGTCAAACTCACTCATTAGATGCACTTCATATCTGTTTAAAGAATTGAATAATGCTCCCCTTTTAGGAGTTTCAAAGCATTCCATCCTGATAAATCATAATGTTCTCTCCATATCTATTATCTCAAAACTTACCTAAATAGAAGAGAGTCAACTAATTTTAGATACATTTAACATTTTAATTAAATTAAGGTATTTACCATAGATACCTCTTTCAAAGCCTGTTATTATCTCTCAAGTTTGAAAGTGAAACATGAAAATGTGATAATACACAGCACTTCTCTTGCAAAGCAGCTGTCTCACACAGAGAATCTACTTCTATTAAAAGAAAAGTCTAGTTAATAATTTTCTATCTTGGTTTTCTGATGTAGTCAATGGTGTTGACTATGTTGTTAGAAGACAGTAGTACCATTTTCCAAATAATTCGACAAAATTACATAAGAAAACATTTAGAATACATCCATTCCTTTATTTTTAAAGGTTAAAACAGGCACTAGCCTCTAGAGAATAATGTAATATTTCAGTTTGCCACACTGCTCTCCAAACTACTGCAAAATGTTATCCTCTTCATTAAATTCTGTTGAAAGTATCTTTGCACGAATCCCTATAATGTGACATTCTGTTGTTGTATAATATAATCTATTAGTCTCACACTCATTTCCAGTTGATTATTCATGTCTTATCTCAACTGTAAGAATCCATGTGTATGAAAGTTCAGTGCATACCAGCAACAACAACTATGCTGAGTTGATCAAACTTCCCCTATAGTCACTACAGCTTTTAAAATTATATTTGAAGTATACAAGATCTAGGTCCTCACATTTGTGACGTTCTAACGTTGGCTCAGAAGCCCTGAAAGGTTTTCTGAGACTGCAAATGAACACTGCCGTTAACAACTTTGCTCCTACAGAACAAACAAACTCCACTAAAGTTACTGTGAAAGATACATAACATTCAAGGGCTGATGAAATACAGAAATATGATTTGTGTGAATTAGAACCATCATGAAAGAAACTGTTCCATGCCTTACATATTAGGTGCTTTTCTTAGATCTTATCTCGCCTTTAATTCAGCAACATGTATAAACAGGTATAAACATAACAAACAAAAAACCCAAACAAAAACTGTAACTATTGTCACAGACTGAAGATTGTTTTTTACTGTGTTTCAAAACATGTGGTTCAGGTGAATAGCTCTAGAAAACTAACATAAACTTGCTAAAGCAAAAGAGCTTACTGAAACTAGGACCATGCCCTAAGGTAACAGCAGAAGGGGAATTTTGCAGGAATTATTTTTAAAAAGCTAGAGAAAAAGGCCATGAATAAAAGCAGAGACATCATCACAATTTATGTCAAACTTCAATCACTATCGGTTTGTAGTGTTTCACTGATTTCCTGTCTATTTCCTCAGGTTACAAACAGTTCCTTAAATCTCACAGAAAATGGTGCTGATGCCTTGGTCAGCATTTCTCTAAAGAATTTATAAATGTTCAAAGCCTGGGGCAGTAAGAAAAGAGCAGAAAGCATCAGTATCCAATACTAAAACTCTAGAAAACTGTGGGAAATTAAGACCTTAGTTAACAGTAGTGCTCGGTGGTTTTGTAAGTATTTAGTCTCAGCTCTGGGGAAGGAAGTAGACTGAAAAAGAATGTAACTATTCTGACCCATAAAGTTTCTAACACGACCTGACATTTCTGCCTCTTCCCCCCGCCTCCCTTTTTCTAATGACATTGAGTGCTTTAAAAGTTTAATCCTCTTCAGAAAAGTTTGACATTGGTTCTGCATTTAGGTGGAAAGAGATTGAGTTGGGAATACTGCATCCCTGCTAATTTAGCAGTAGTCAAGAAAGACTACAGAGGACTTTCAAAGTCACTGACTAAGTGCAAAAAACATTCAAATATCCTGCTTTTAAGGACAGATCAAAGGCTTATTTCAGCACTGCCAGAATAAGAATTACCACTTGCAGACTGCATATGATAAACAAAGGAACCAATCTATTGTGCCTGCCCTTTTGGCAACACGGGAATTAGAGTGTTCCAAGTCCTTAAAGGCTATTATAAAAAAAGAATTTGGCAGTCTTAAGCCACGGGGTATATAAAACATCACCATTTCACAATAATACCTTGTCCCAGGTGCTAACACTTCACTGGAACAACTGTGCCAGGAACATACCATGACACCAAAACTGGTTGAGCCACTGCTACCCTACTGCAAGTACTATTATTGTTCATAATAATAACAATAATAATATTTTTATGAGACAAGACTCTTCTTTCTGCACGATTGTCTCAGAAAATACAATGCTGACAACATACACTAACAGTCATGAACAGTAACAGCAAGTAACTATAAAAAAGCATGCATGCAACCACTCTAAAAAAGAAGCATCTTGAAAAGCCATTTTCTCTCCCATTAAATTATACCAACATGGATGAAAAAAGATGAGATTTCACCCTTTGCAATACTGGCCCGGTGGAAGATTACAGGAAATACCGCTGGGACACATCTATTATTTAGATTTATATTACACAACTCCCCAGCACCTCTATTCAACACAACTATGGCAGAAAAATCTTTCATACAAATGTCAGACATAAACAAAAGAGCTTTTGAGGCACCACAACTTTTATTGCTTGCAGGAATCATTTCAATATACTAGCCAGGGTCTCCTACAGGTCTCTGCTTGGACATTTTGTTCTTAGGGTGGTGAGACTGCTTTACTAGCCTAGACTTCACAGTTCTCTACCTGCAGTGTGCTCCTATTTAAGTACCCTGATCATACTAGCAAAATTTAATTGGGTGAATGCTGCCTATTCCTAAGCCCCATAGACTGCGAATAAACTACACAAGAGAAAAATCAGTTTCCCCAATTTAAGCACAACTTCAGTAAAAGTTGTTCTAGTAAAAGCTGCATCAATTGGAAACTACATTTCTTCACATCGACAAATGCAGATATCACAGCAAAAGTCTGTAGTCTAAACCTATCCTAAGTGTTATTCATACACAGCTGGTACCCTTCTGAAGTAGGTGATCCATCGTATTCAAAATGCATAGATAATTACTTCCTCTAGCAAAAGCTGGATGGGCCAAGCTTTGCCATTCAGAAAAAAGTGTTTTATCGTGTTGACAAAACAACTCTTTTTAGCAAGATACCATTCATTTCCATTTACAGAATTTGCAGATATATTTATACTCTTCAATTTGATGATTGTATTTCTTATTCCTGCCTTTGCATTTCCTTCACTTTTGGCATTTTTACCTCAAATTCATGTTTTTCATCAATGTCACTGGCTAGTAATGCACCGCTGAGTTCATGCCTTACAAATTTCCCAGCTTCCTTCAAATATTAGTTCAACCCTCATTACTCAGGAAAGTTTTGTAATTTTAACTATTCTGCTATAGTAAAGTAGTACCTCTACCACTGCAGCTGAACAAGGCAACACCGATTTTTTAAAATTGAAAAAAAAAAAAAAAAAAAAACCCCCAAACCATTACAAAGGTACTTTATACTGCATCCACTATAAAGCTTATAAAGGGATGCATTAACAATTGCATTGATGTCTGTTTCATATATGCATGAAAACGAGACCCATAAGCAAGTACTGAATCAGTGTCAATCTAAACCCAGCAAAGCTGGGAATTAGGACAAACCTGCCACACACAAGTATTCATATCCTGAAATTAACATCTGAGCAACATTTACTCTAAACTGGCCCTTGCAAAGCTACTAAACTACTTGCACTCAGCTGCCCCTACAAGAGGGGTCATTAGCTCAGAACAGTGCCACGTACACACACTGGCCTTAAAAGTATGTGCCCCGTGTATACCTGTGGTACACCTGAGCTGGCACTGCAAGAAGTCAAGCTGGATGTTTCCTCAACTTCAAAAGTGTTGGAATTCACACCCAAGCTACCAGTCAGAGATAATGACGAGTTTACTGTCATCAGCAAATGGATATGAAGCCCTTGAGAAACACTAACAAATAAGGCTGCTTGATATAAATACTTGCACTAGCGTAACTAATTAAGCGAGAGATCTCTTTCCTAAGGCAACTTGATGACACTAATACTAACGCTCTTGGTACATCCAACTGTATCTATATATAGATGTGCTACATTGTATAACCTTATTCTCTTTTCTACATTGGATTCGATAGGTCAGAATCATCAAGCTCATGCCAGGAAGACTTACCACTTCAAAATCAAAGAATTTCTACAAGCAGATACAGATTTAAGCATCTACTGCTCGTACTTCACCGTGTAGAAGGCTTGATAGTCTGTCATGGTGCAAAGAATTCAAGAGACAGGAAAATTTTTCTCAAAATCTTTGAATTTTTTGACCATTGGAAAAAACAAAAAACACCTCATAGCTGCCTTTTTTAGGTGATTTCAGACCAAATTTTCCTTAATCTATAGGACACAAGCAATCTGTCAAGTATTTTAACTTTCTCATCTTCCAATTTATATCCAAAGTAGCTATGTTACTATTTTTCCCTGTTAAGAAAAAAGATGCTGCAGGAATTGCAAAACCAAAAAAACCCAAAAACTGAAACGCCAGCTTTCAGACAGCTGTCAATATCAAAGCTTGACATAACATGAGGGAAGAGCAGCATAACTTCAGGCTGGGGGAACCGAGTTCGGAACATACAACCCAAGAAGCAAAAGATAAGCAAATGGAAAAATGACTTAACATGAGACAGATGCCTCAAGGCAAAAAAAATTAAAATAGCAGAAAACTGTAGGGTTGCTTTTGATAGAAAAATCAATGCAAGCAACAAAAAATACATAATTTATGTTTTAGTTCTTTTTTTGTTCTTTTACGTTCCAAGGAGATAATCCAAAGTCCAGTTAAGTCAAAGGTCTTTCAAAGCATTTTACAGCAATGGTATCAGGTGCTAATTAACATACATTTTACAAAGGTTGCTTCATCTCACACTGTCACAAGAATGCGGAACAGATTAATTGATCAGAAAAGGTTTGGATTTGAGGAGACACTGTAATTTTAAGTACAGAACAAGGTTAGTTATAGAAGTCAAATACGTAAGGACACACGTTTTCATTAAAAGAGAACCAAGGACGTCCAATTTCTCTGTTTATGATTTTTGGGTCCTTACCTGGACGGTTTGTGGCAGCCATAATGAAAACCTGCTGACGATTCTCCAGACCATCCATCTCTGTGAGTAACTGGTTAACTACTCGGACACTGGCTCCTGACTTTAAAAAGAGAAATTTGTCAACAAAATTGAAAAAACTGTGGGAGCGGGAATATTTCAAAGTAAAAGAAACAAAAGATCTACTAGCTCCCTGCCCTGAAATACTATTCAAAGAAAAAGTTTCTTTTTCACACTTTTAATGTAGCTGCATTCTGGATTTCTACTATCATAGTCTCAGCTCGTCTCCACCCTAAATTCATGCTACCTAAACACCCACCACACATTTTAACATGTGGCAAACCTTTTCTTTCCCATTAAACATGAAGGTCTCAAAGTAGTACATATAGATATTTATGCTAACCATTCTCACATCTACCTCAACAAGAACACCCAAAACTTCTCAATATTCAGGTTTTGAAAAAAAGAAAAAAGTTCTCCAAATATTTAAAACTCTGAAACAACAGTTTCAGCAGGTGAGCTACTCAAAGTTAAATGTTAAGTCCACAGTAGTGACATCCTATAACCAAACTCAATAGCTTAATCTGAATTTTATTCTAGAGTTGGGGAGACAGGGAGAGAGAAAGCACAGGAGATAGAGAACAAGAGTTCAATTATGTAGTAAAACTGCTTGATGATTTTGAAGTATGTTGTTCTAAGTGTTACAGTGTTATTTTAAACATACAAAAATATAAATCCACCTATGGATAATTAGAATATGTGGCAAAAATGCACGTAAGTCTCAAAAAGCCAAAGGAAACACCAAACACTCCTGAGTTTCAATTGTGAATCCCAAGACTGTCACCAGTATCACAGTTTGAGTAATGAAGTCACCAGTCTCCTGCCCAGACAGTACCTCTACATGGTTAAAGGAGGCTGTGAAGAGTAGGGGGGGGCTTCTAGGCACCAAGCTGCTGCCTGCTGCTGCTGCCACAGAAATGGAGTGAGGCCAAAGCATACTTGTTCCCCCTCCTTGGCTACCATCTATGCCTACTGTGGTGCCTAGTACTGGACACCTTCTTTTATGACTCTGTGGGAATCACCACCTCAGGACATTCAAGAAGTCAAGTCTGAACTTTTCAGCTTGGCTATCTTTCATAGGAAGTGAAGTATGCAAATTCAGAGGACAAGGTATGATTCAGAGACAGTTGATCAAACTTCCTCTCTCCTATGAACTGGAACTAAAGAGTCCTTCTGTTAAAAGTCAATGATGGCAATATCCGAACAGTAGTGCACTCCACTTGTCCGTAGGGAAGAAAAAAAAAAAAAAAAAAAAAGCATCTTTTCTTTCAGCCATCAACATACATGCACCAGTACAGTATCATAAAATAAATGCATTTCCTCTGCATAAAAACCAGTTGGCTTTCCTTCCAACACACAGCGCTAATACCGCCCCCGCAAAAGCACAAGTTAATCCTAGGTGTAGGTAGTGCCTGTTCCCAAACAACAACAAAAAAATCAAGACAGAGAAGACTTCACAGGTGGAATAGCTATAAAGTCTAATGAATTCCACTTATGCTCCTGCCTCATGACCCAGTTCACGTTGTTCAAATAAATGCATACTTCATGCAAGCATTACAGCTGTGTCAGGATTTGGCCATAAATTAAACATGATATTAAACTGCACTCCATCTTTTCCTACAGCTCTACACAGACAAGTTGGTAGTTCTACACATATTCTCTGGATATTTTTTCTATATATGCATAATAAAAAAAAAGTATTAAGCTTTACAAAATTTGATAAACATATTTTTCCACAAATATGAGAAAGCCTATAGGATTGTTTTCCTTGGAGATAACTGAACATAGTACCCTTCCAGGTACTTCTGTGGCACAATGACACAAAAGTTGCAACTGAGTATTTATTTATGGAGATATTTTAAGACAGACTCACTTCACGGTCAGACCTCCGAGGGCACAAAGCATCAACTTCATCAAAAAATATAACACAAGGGGCTGAATTCCTGGCACGCTGGAATACCTGACGTACAGCACGTTCGCTTTCACCAACATACTAAAACAAATGACAAATCACAGTGAAATGATGTAAGACATGAAGATTTTGCTTGGGGGGGGGGGGGGGGGGGGGGGGGGGGGGGGAGGAAATCACAGTTTTAAACACTATTTGAGGTGCTTTGCAAGGGAGAAGTGCCACCTGCTAACCAGTTTACTTCTGATAACAGTCTGTTATCTGTATTTCCTTACTGATCAAGATTTACCTGGGAACTAGTTGTCACTAGCTTACTTTTGACAGTTTCCAGTACATTCAGAGTTTAATAGAATTCCTGCTTTCTGGGGAACACATCTAACTTGCCGTCATTCTGATGATAAGAATTAACAAATACAGTCTTCATTAAGGACCCTGTTATTCTTCAACTGTTCATAAACAAATGCAGTGAGTAATTTGAACGCAACGAACATCTGAAGTTTATATAGTCATTGCCTGAAGACAGGAGGGCTGGCAGTAGGGAACTAAAAGGTAAACCAGAATTTCACTTTGAATGGCAAACTGCAGGGGTGAGGGTTGATAAGCTGTAAATGCAAACACTTCACTTTTTCCAAACAAACATGTTTTGATACAATTCATGTCTGCCTATGATTCAGAGACCGCGTTAAGACATTTTCTCTTTACTCCATAAGGAAGTAGGGCTCCTCATATCCTGCCTGATAGCAGTACTTGCAGTAAAAATTAAAAAAATATTTGGCAAAATAACAATCTATCCAGTATTTTGGTTTTAGCTTCCACATTATTGATAAACAGGTAACTGCCATGGTCTTCCAAAATGCGGGCTGCAGCCACCTTTCTCAGTTCAACACATTCTCTTCACGCTAAAAGGGACTGAAGTTATATCACAACATTTCTAAGTCCAGTGCTTCAAAAACTCAGACTACAGCACTTTTATCTGTTAACATTTAAAATCTTTAAAAATAATTTTGATCAACTAAAAACCAATATTGCTTTCCAAGGTTTCAAACTTCCATTAAGAAGCTAAAATGACTGGCAAAACACATTTCCAATTTTATTTTGCTTACTGAAAGCTGCCAATTTGCAGTTACTGATCACCAATTTTTCCCACTGTTAAATTTGAACTTTTATTCTTTTTCCTGATCTATGCAACAGCACTGATGCATGTAGTTTGTCTTTTAGAAATCCTACTTCAGTCAGCTAGGCTCCATCTGCCAGGTAAGTTAAACCAAGATATATACTTAAATTAGCCAGATAGCTTTTTCCTTTTCACATGAACAACTTCACTGCTTAAAAAATGTAAGCAGAGGTTAAGCGAGGCAACTTCTGTTGCACCGGTATCAGTTGTGTAATTACCAGGAATTTTGCTTGCCCCATACTTTGGACAAAAATTCCATAAATAACAAAAGCATCAGTGCATACCATATTTAGCAGTTCAGGACCTTTCACAGATATGAAGTTCAGTCCAGACTCATTTGCCACAGCCTATCAAAAAGAAAAACAGACATATATATAAACCACATATTTTTCATGTTTTCTTTGGTTCTGTTTGTAAACAGATAAACAAACTTAAGGGAAGGAACACAGTTATCAATTGTTTGTAAAATATAGAAAACAGTACAAAGTATAATTATATGCAATTAAGAATGGGAGGGGGATGGGAAATTTAGCAAGGTGTTCTCTCTCTTTAATGAGGCAGTGATCCAGATTCACACCCCACTCCCCTCTCCCACATTAGCTGAAGAATTCTCAATAATTAGCTGGAGTTAAAGCTACACAAGAGCATTTGAAGACAAAGATGAATGAAAATCTGGAAACTTGCATAATTATCTCCATTTACACGGGGAGGCCACAAGAACTGAAATGCTTGAGGAGAAGGAATTTCAGTAAGATAAATATAATAAATAAAAATACATACATATAATATGTGTAGACTACTTCCAAATATATCATTTAGTTACAGCAAAATATTCCATAGAAGTGGTTATCTTTGCTACTTTCTTCTTAATCAACTTAATTCCTTCAAGTTTTGCAATAATTCCCTCTCATTGAAGCAAAATTATAATTTTATGACAAGAAAAATCAAACAATTTCAGCACAGAGCCCCAAATTTAACTTTCTACTGAGGAGAGCAGAAGTCCATCTTCTGGCAGTATCATCCAGACTCAGTCATTCCTACAAAAACATCCACTTCAACAAGATTCTCCAGGGCTTTTGAACACATTTAGAAAACATATTACCTTAGCCAACAGTGTTTTGCCACACCCAGGAGGCCCTGCAAGCAGGACACCAGCTGGAGTAGTCAGGCCCAGAGCTTTAAACTGCTGTGGGTTTCGCACAGGTGCCTATAAAAGAAATTATCATACTTATATCCGTGACAAAAAGCTAACATGAAACTTTTCATTTCAGTTACAATTGGATGAAAGATCATTTACAAGCAAGTTCTTCATTCCAACTCTTTTATGACCAAAAAGAATAAACAATCGACAAGCATTTATTGTCTTGTATTGATAAATACCCCAAAATGGAAGAAGTGTCATTATTCAGAGGCAAAAGTTTTATTTACCTAAGTTCTCATCTTAAGGTGTTAGTGTTAAGTACACCTCTGAGTGGCAGCAAGACTGCAAACCTTCCAGCTAAGTGGTCTCCAATTCTTTGTGTGGCAGTTGTGTAACTAAGGTTATTGGTGCAAAACTTTTAGAATACGTAAGACTCAGCAATAATGAACATACTGAAAACTGAAAGCATGAGTAAGTGAAATCTTAAATACATGCACCAGACTTCTAACAAATTTGAAAGCAAGTTAAGAAGTCTGACTATTATAAATGAAGATACTGCAAAACCTCTAGTTTGTCGCATGTTAGAACTCATGGGTAGAATATTATACCTTAAATAACTTCTAAAAAACAAAAAGCCATAGTTTTATTTCCTGCATATGGGGAAGTGCAAAAAAACAATCTTTGAAAGTAAGGTTAAGTCATACCAATATTGCCATAGTCAGCTCCTCCCGAACATCCTCCAGGGCTCCGATATCTGCCCATGTCACATCAGGAATTGTGACAAAACCTTCCCTCTTGGCAGAGGGTTGCACTGATGACAGCGCAACAATAAAATCATTCATCTCAATGCACAGCTTCTGCAGCTGCTCCTCAGGCAAGGGGTCTTGCTTCTTCAATAAATCCAAAAGTCTCTGCAATTCTTCCTTAGGATACATGGAAAGGGAGAGAAAAAGATTACGCACTGGATTAGATTTTAGGAACCACTTTTTTAAGGGCTTTTTCAAAGCAGTACTTTCTTCATCTGTAATATTAATTACTGTAAAACAAATTATTATGTACAATACAAATAAAATAACATTAAAAATTAACATTAATGACAAAAATGTTCCAGGCAAGCGCTACGTACATTTAACACTTGTGAAACCACTGAGCTGACAGACTACAACCTTGATTTAGATACTACAGAAACAGAGCTAGCACATGTATTTTGTCTTCAGACTCTTCCTACTGCTTCTCCCACACTGATTAGGAGAAAGTTTTTTTTCCATGCTGAAATTTCCAAAACATGCATTAATTATATGTGTTAATTCTGTTTTTAATAAGAAATTGCTCTCAAGAGAAAGTGAACAACTCTGCTGAACAGCACAATTTCAGCAATTTGTGGAATATTTGGTTACATAAAAACCTTTAAAACTCTTAACACACACTTTTAGATTATGCACTTTTATGTAACATAATCTGATTTCAAGTCATCAACTCATTTCCTCAGGCTGGTTAGACCTGGTTTTATAACCAGGCTCTGATAAAGTTGGGCAAACAGAATAGAGGTACAGCACAATGCTTTTCAACACCGTCCTATCTTGCAGACCACAGCATGCCATGCAGGTACGCTCCAGTTTCCCCAATCAGTTCCTTACTGGGGAAACTATCTGAGAAAATACTTGATCAAAGAACTTTATACCTTCACAACATAAATACATCCCTGTTCTAATATGGAAAGGCAGTATCAAAGCAAATTGATGCTGCACCACAAGTAAAACTATAGCAGTATTTTCATTGTAAGATAGAGGGAGGAAAAAAAAAATATTGTAATAACTCTGTTAAGTTTCAACATTTTTTCCTACTGCAGTATATGGGAAAAGGATCACTTCCTATTTGTTGCAACTAAGCTAGCTCTACAACTGACCATAAAGAAATAGAAATGTTTATAGTGCCTGATATCCCTTTTAAGCCTTCCCTCCTCTTCTTAACAGAGCCGTTAAGAGAAACTCTGAAAAACCCAGAATCACTGGGTTTGTTTACTTGAATTGTGTGAACGATTTTTAAAGGGTTTGTATGTTTATTTATCCATTATAAACATAATATGATGGTTTTAATGACAACACTCTGCATTAGAATATGTCAACCTCCTGCCAGCTATCAAAATATGGCTCTGTTAGGATTAGACTTCCTCATCCTCAATAACTCCTTTGATCATGGTGATGTTGATAAAAGCTGCAACTACCTGCCCCTCCCCACTGCCTTTTGGCTACATCAGGCCCCCGGAAACACTGGGAGGTACGCAGTATGATTATGCTACTAATACAAAGGCTTACTACGGCTTTTTACACTGTTTTTTGTTAATTACAGCAACAGTTTTCTTTGACAGTACTTTTAAAATCAGAATCAGAGTACAATGTGATTTAACACCACTTTGCTTTACTTCTCCAGACAAATCTTTAGGAGGCCTACACATAATGAAGGCACATACACACTCCAAATTTTGAGCAGTAGGGCCTAGAATTTCTGTATGAAGATGTTCTGGTTCACTGACCACAGCATGTTACTTAGGCCACAGAATATTTCTGCCACTGGAAATGCTACTTTCTGCAACTGAGTTCCAGCTGTACTGCACATTAACAGGTACTTTCTCTGCAGCTCAAGTCATATTGCTAACCCAACTTTTCTACTGGATAGATACCTCTTCCTCAAACTTGCTGTAGGTACTAGACACCACATGCGATTTACCCCAAGTAGTCACATAGCTGAAGGGAAAATGTAGACTGCATAAATACTTCTAGAGTTTGGCTAACTATAACTATACCAGGTCAGGGAAGAGCCCCAGGCATCATAATAGATATTTTACTGAGGGCACAGCAATTAGCTTGGTAAACACTCAGTGCAAGTCTGACATTCTTACAATTGATACACTTTTGAAGAGAGATATGGCCATTATCTTAACCTCTAGTCTGCTAGAAAACAAAACAACACAACACAAACAACAACAATGAAAAAGCCAAGGGTAAAAAAAACCCCACACCTTGTATAAACATTAACATGATTTTTAGAAGGTATGGGCTTTGGGAGCCACTTATTCAGACCCATTATATGGGTCATTAGAAGTTAAGTGTCTGGCTTAAGAGCTGATATTTCTAAATCTAAATTTAATATTACATTAGCCACAGACATTTAAGGATTTATGAGCAATGACTTTCACAATTATAAAATGGCTCAATTCTTAAGATATCAGAGGCACATGCTTCAAGGAACAACTACCTTAGGAGGAAGTTCTAGTTGTTTGGTATCTTCTTCCACCAGGATGTCTGTTCCTATTTCCATGCTTTCTTCAGCTGCATTTCCTCCAGCGTTTATGCGTTTCCGTTTCTGCTTCTCAGGCTTTAACAGGACCCTGTTCACTGTGCACATAGCTGCCTCACGACAAAGTGCCATCAAATCAGCACCTACATAACCTGGAGTCAGCCGTGCTAAATGATGAAATTCAAAGGACTGTGGGAGCTTAAGTTTTCGACACAAAGTCCGAAGAATTCTAATCAAGTAGGGAGAAAAAGAACAATAAAATAGAGATGAAGCTGTGGCTTTTTTTATTTTTGTATGAAAAAAAACCAGCACAATTTACTCTTTCAGTCCACATAACTGAAGTAGTATAGTGGGAACAGTTTTCACTCAACCAGTGTCAAGGTTTAGCCTCAGCCAGCATCTAAACACCATGCAGCTGCTCACTCACCCCCTACCACTGAGGTGGGGTAGGGGAGAGGATTGGAAAAAAAACCCTCATGGATTGAGATAAAAACGGTTTAACAGGACAGCAAAGAAAGAGGAAACAACGATAATAATAAAATTACCGATAAAGGAATATACAAAAACAAGTGATGCACAATGCCACAATTGCTTACTACCCGGTGATAGATAGCCCACCCCCGAGCAGCAGTTCCCCCCGCCCAGCCAACTCCAGTTTATATACTGAGCATGATGTTATATGGCAGGGAATATCCTTCTGGCCAGTCTGGGTCAGCTGTCCTGGCTCTGTTCCCTCCCAGCTCCTCGTGCACCTCCCCACTGGCAGAGGATGGGGAGCTGAAAAGCCCTTACTGAGTATAAGCACTACAACTGCACAGCAACAACTAAAAACATCAGGGTGTCATCAACATTATTCTCATACCAAATCCAAAACACAGCACTACACCAGACATCAGGAAGAAAAACTAACTCTATCCCAGCCAAAACCAGGACAACTAGGAAGTAACCAACACTGAAATCCACAAGGCAATGGTATATATTTCCTTTTAGCTCTTAAATGAAAACCAACAGCATCAACCAGGCAACGTCAGTCAGTGGGCAAAAGCTAGTTTTAGTGAATCTAAATATTATAGATTCTTTAAACCTTAGATTATGATTCAAAATTGACAGAGTAGATCTCAGAGTGTACCACAGAGATGCACACAAGTTATCCGTTGAGATATTTAACCCTGTATTCCTGACAACCTTACTCTGCATTGTCTGTTCCATCCCACTTTTATTTATTTATTGAAAAACATTCACAACAAACTATTCTGTAAGGAATAAATAAAATCAGACTTAGGAGCTCTGTCTTTTGATCTTCAGTATCTTTCCCCTACCACTGTCAGTGGAATATAACCGCAGATGTTTCCTGCGTCCCCAGTAAAGTTTCCAATGTGTACACGTCATGTGTTACCTCATCCTCATTCAAAAGCTAAAGTTACACCTACCTATGCAGTTCCATCACTAATACAAAACAGCTCTATGTAACTGACTGAAGTGCTATGCTTCACACTTTTTTTTATGGGAGTTTTTCACTCTCTATCGAGGCTGAATCTTTAAAAACCTCCTTCAAGGTCCACCAAGACCTCCCGCTGTTCTTCTAAGCCAAGGACAACTGAAAATCACACGAATAGTCAAAAAAAAAAAAAAAAAAGGACAAAAGCAAATGTCACTGCACAAATACTGGTGCTGAATAACTCTGAGCAAAGGGATCTAATCAACTTTAAAACAGCAAAACATCACTTCACTGGGAAAATATTTCAAAAAGGCAGCACAAACCAAAGTCGTCAAGATCATTAACATATTTTCTAGTTCCAATGAAAACTAGTTTAAATTATTTCCAGATCATGTAATGTAACTACAGAAAAGTTATGAAAAGAACGAGTTATTAAATCATTCAAAACTCTGACATTATAATACGTTTCCTCTGTTTGCCTCCCCCACTCACAAGGTTCCATTCTCTCTCATTTAAATCTTTATTAGTGATGTTAGCTTGGTTCTCATGAATTTTTCAACCAGTCTGACAACAGCTGTAGCTCATCAAGTGACTCAAAGTGTAAAAAATTAAGAACTGTAAATGGCTTATTCTGAATTTTTATCCTACATATATTATTTTCCTTCATGTGCTTCATAAATGCACAAGAAAACACTGCAAGTAAAGAAGATCTCCAGGTACACCTCCTCATCCGATTCCAACCCCCTCAGGCTGTAGAACCACAGCTAAGCAGTTCAAATCACACTTGCAGCAAGACTGATTTATTATGTGGTAAATCAGCACACTATAAGGACTTCTGTTTCTATATGACCCTTTTATTTTAAAAAAGGAACAAACCTCCCCAACAAAAAACATCCCAAAACCAAAACAAAACAGAAAGCAGGGAGGAGGGGAAAATTCAAAAAATAAAGTCAATAGTTCCTGTAAATCTACACCTCCAGGAAAACAAACAATTGCACAAAATAGTAACATAAATGAAAGTGACTACACTCAACTTGTGAACAATCTCTACACACTATGATGGCTCTCTCATTCACAACTCATGTCCTTCAAAACAGTGCTATTTCTGGGAATATCATATTTTTAACATGAACCTAAGAAATATCATAGAATTAGAACTCTCATCAGTGAACTCTTCAGTTCTACCTCTAACTGCTTGTATTGTTTTCCCACAACCAAGAGCAACGTAATTACTACAGGGCTGTAGATCTGGAGGAAGAAGGAGGGGAGAGAAAAAAAAAAGTGGAGGCATGGCCAGAAGGCAGATGGGGGGAAAGGGTGGAATAATGGCCAGTAGTGCTGACAATGCAAAGTGACTGATACCGCAAGCAGAACAGTTTGCTTTTTCAACCTAGAAATGATTAGTTGAGCTAGAAGGAACTTATCCTTTAACCTTTCTTTCCTTCCAATAACAAGATAAGCCACAGCCGTTTTCACACTTCCTTTTCTGTGTTTTCTGCTGTTGTGGAAATGAGTAGCAGTTCCTTTTTAATTACAAAAAAAAAAAAAAAAAAATTAATCTAGTCTGACAGTCACAAATCTTTGGAGTAAAAAGGGTCAGTTATACAAAACAGGATGACTGCAGCTCAGCTTAATGCCTGGACTGGTGTACTTCCATGAGGAATGGAATGGAAGAATCTAGGCCTGTTGCTTAAGGTATGTGCTTGAAAGGATTAACAAACAGGCTATACTCAATTTATGTTCCTAATTTAATAGTTACATAGGGAGCACCAAAACCAGAATGTTAAATATATATTTTCTGTTGTTCAGGAAGTTAATTCCATCACCTATACTGTTAAAGCACTTGCAAAGCCGTTAACATAATGCTAAAAGCAGATCTGCACACAAGAAAGGAAACCACCCCAAATGTAGACACAGCTACCAAGACAAAGAGTAGATGCACACTGAATGTGTTCTGCACTTTTCAGTGTGTGCTGATCCATAGGTGTGTACAGGCACAAAGAGGACTAAACATGATGAAGTACTTTTCCTCAATTTGCATGTTAACTTATACATTATTTCCTTATTTATTAATTAATCAAAGAGAAGCTTAAACTTTGTAACACATACTTTTCTCTTGCCGCTTCATCTGGGATCCCTAAACAAATTTCTCGATCAAATCTACCAGCTCGCCTCAGTGCGGGGTCCAGTGAGTCAGGTCTGTTAGTTGCTCCGATAACAAGGATCTGGGTAGTGGCAGCCACATTATTCAAGTCTAAAGGAAGGAAGGAAGTTAGTACTCATACTCACTGTCTCAACTTTGTTCTGACATCTATGTGACTGTTTCTGCAGCACACAATAATACTCAGAACAGCAGAGATAAACTAACCAACAGTCATACTAAACCGCTGTTCATCCTTATTTCTGCTACTTAGAATTTGCATTTTGCACAGTCTAGCAAAAATAAGCATTTCAAATGACATTTGGCACATTTTCCCATTCTATCTGTTTATACAACAGACAGGCTTATATAATGCTGTACATTCTACTGTGAAAATAATGTAGTAACATCCCCTCAAATTAGTGAGAATCTTCCCACCCCACCCCACGCCCCCCCGGTAAACTGTGCCAAAATATGAAAAATTATTACCACTATGTCCACTAAAGTAACCATGAGTCACTACTGAAGGAAAGCAGACAGTGAGACTGACAATTAGAAAGTTTAGCTTAGTATAGATGTTCCTGAGACTGACCATCCATACAAGTTAGGAACTGAGCAACAATTCTCCGCTCCATGTCCTTTGACGCAACTTCTCTTTTTGGAGTGATTGCATCAATCTCGTCAATGAAAAGGACACATGGTGCACTGGACTAGGAACAAGAAATATTAATAATTACAAAATTACATTGACATAATGTATTTTGAGAGAGATGGAGAACTTTTTCAGATTTTCTGTTCCATAATTATTACTGTAAGTCTGCTGCACAATCAACCTGCCCTGCAACAATTCTGTTGTTCTTATTGACTATCTGGAGAGCCACTAGACTACAAAAGTGAGCTGAGGCTATGAAATAATTAAGGCATGAGATTCAAAATGTCTCTAGATATTGTTTAAAATGTAAAGGTACCTCTATGCTGCTTTATGTTTTCCATAAATATTCCATTGTGACTGCTTACTTGCTTAAGTCCAAAAAAGGAAAACCAGACAACAAAGGTCTGAATTGTTTTTTTGTTTTGTTAGTGATATTAGAGCTGTGGAATTTCAAGAGCTAGTATTACTGACAAACATAATGAAACAAAAGGAGCAGTAGGTGGTCATGAAAAATGATCTGCCAACTTCTAGATTACTACAGAGCCTGACCATGTTTCAAAGAGTAAAAATGGGCAACTCCTACAAGTGTTCTAAAATTCCAGGTACTTCATGTTCATAAAAAGCCTACAATAATATAGGGTAACAACTACGGTAACTAACAGAATAGTGTTTAACTGACATAAGATTATTAATATTCTCAAAAAGTAGTAGTAGTGCAAAGCAATACTCAAGGAAAACACTGGAATCATATAAAAAAAAAATTAGTATTTTAAAACCTATGCAATCTGTGTAATCAGGTAGCAACTGCGCCATCTAGTTGTCATTCACTTTCCTGCCACCTGATAGAGCGGAAAAAATGCAACTAAGCTAGAAGGATTCCACTATACCTTATGCATGTACTGTGCAACTATGTCTTTTTTTCCCTGCACAAAAATCGGTAAAAAACTTAACTGAATGTAAGGGACTACAAAAAAGGCAACATTTTATTTTTAAACATGTTTTATGCAAGACATTTTATTTCTTCAAAAATAGCTTTCATAGCAATTTTCCCTCAATCACTATGCATTCAAAAGATATGTAATTTCTAAAAACTCTGTGCAATCACTTATTTAGTTTTATTCTATACAACATCTTAACAAGGCTTTCTAAAATTTAAAATGTAGTATCAACTGGAAACATAGTAATCTAACAGCTTCACAATCAAACCTTTTGCCCCATTTAGCATACTTTTATACAGGAACATAGTTTAAACACCTATATACGGTTGTTGTGGAGAGTAGAAAAATGGAATAAAGCTGGAAAACCAGAACGTTCTCAGAGATCAGGAACAGAAAACTCTCGTCGTGAAATAAAACATTAACCACATACTAAAAAAAGAAAAAAATCTGCATTTGTTTTAATTAAAATCATCTCAACCTGTCGGTTCTCTTTGCTTCTCATGAATTCTGGAAGTTTCACCAAACAAGACTCAACTGTAACTTGACTCCTGCTCCTATGACATTTGTCCCAAATTTCTTACTTTATACCTAAACTCCCAAAGTCTTAAGTACCTCATATTCACTCAAATTCCACGACATACAAAACGAGCAAAAAAACATTTGTAAGAAAAAAGCACAGTAAACTGCTCTTACATCTTTTCTATTTTTATATATCAAGCCAAGCAGCTCCAAATAGGTAAACAATTTATGTTGCTCCTTTACACTGATATGATGAACTATCTTTTGTCAAGATTTCAGAAGAGTAATCTTTGTGCTCTGTGACAGCATGACAGTACAATGGTATTCTGGTCCCAGAAGGGGAGACACTATGACTTGTGTGCAGCAGTATAAAGAATCACTCACTAATATTCACTCAAATTCAAACCACAGCGAAGTATGAATCTTTGCAAAGAAAAGAGCAAACAATTCACAGTGTTATTTCTAACAGGTGTCTCACCACAGCCTGTTCAAACAATTCTCTCAGTTTCTGCTCAGATTCCCCTGACACTCCAGACACCATCTCCGTTGCTGCCACTTTCAGCATAGGGAGCTCAAGCTCCTGAAAGAGACAAGGAACGTTGTACTATTTATCCAGAGGTTAGAAACGTTGGCTGTCCTAGGGGACAAATATTTTCCAGTACAACATCTTTTACACCCAAAGATTATGTAATCAAGACTAAATCTTAAAGAGCTCTTAAAAAAATATTAGTAGTATCCTCCAATCCAAAATGGGTCTGAGCCATTTGGGCAAGTGAACAGAAATAGATACTAAAACCAGGTTTCCCTAAGTCAGTTAGAGAACGACTGTACTGTCAAATAGCTTTGAACCTTGGTGCATATACAAGACATATATTTCAGTTCATTTTTGGGCTCCCTTCTTGAGAAAACTGCCTATTTCCAACTGTAATAAAACATTACTTAGCAGTGCGGAAGAGATTCCTACCAGGTTTATTTCCCTTAGTCTTGCTCCAGAAATATCTAAGCAGGACTGTACAGTAAGATACTTGTGAAGTTCACACTCAAAGTTTTCTGCTATTAAAATTAAATGAACAAAATTGTAACTTTGATAGATGCACATATAAAAAAATCCTAATGTAGACAAATCATAGCCAGCAGAGGCACTAGGTGGGGCTTGGAGGAGGTAATTTGCCTTGAATAACTACTGACAATATCTTATTTAAGAAAATTATTTAAGAAGTAGTCATTAAATTTATCTCATCTCTGAAAAATTTTCACTTGTGTCATGTTTCTTCCCCTAAATTTAGTAACCTTCCAGGATACAAACACCCGCTGAAGTATTAAGTATCGTAGATTCAACAGGTACCTTTATACAATAAGGCATTAAATGGGAAAAAACCAGATCTCTTGAATTAAAACATTTGACATATCGTGTCAGAAGGGTCTAACCAACATTTAAGTAATAAACACCAGTAATTTCTTTCAAAGATAAAAGCTCTGGTACAAAAGTTTGTAATTTACATTAATCTAAATTTAAGGTTGTAATGTGACATTTAAGGAACAACTGTACTAAAGACAAAGAGATGTCCATGGTTATCACTGAATAGCCCTAAATTGCCCCTAGATTTATTTCCAAGGCAGGCACAGAGCAGCACAGCAGCCCCACCACACACCAAGCTATGAATAATATCATATGCACTGAAATCATTAGTTTGACATAGGCAAGGCAACATCCAGTTCTGGAATTCAGAAATCACTGTTTAACAGATGCAACCCAACAAGCACCAATGTGATGCCTCATAAAAGATGGTAAGGTTGAGTCCAGACTTAAAACAAAACATTATGCTAAATTTAACTACAAGTATCTTCCATTTATAGCCTTCTCAATACCCATGCTTGTATTGTTGCCCTGCGAATGCCTAAAAAAAATTAAGTCAAACATAAAATCCTGTCACTATGTCCATTCTTCATATGAGGTTCTTTCAAGTATAGATTCAGATGGAATTTAAACAAAGGAAGTGAAAATTAATATATTTTAGACTAAGATAGGAAGTAGAGAAAAGAGAAAGGGATCTAATGTATCATGAAGGAGAATTATTTTGTTTCTCTCTAAATATAATTCAGAAACAGAAGAAACTGTACATGTAAAGCTATCTCACCCCAGCAATTGCCTGTGCAAGTAATGTCTTTCCACATCCTGGTGGTCCATGTAAAAGAAAACCACGAGGTGGAACCACACCTAAGTGGTTATAGACTTCGGGATGACGGACATGAATGAGCATCTTGCATATTTCCTGTAAAGGACAAGAGACACCTCTATTTAAATTGAAGAAACTAGTATTATAGATTGCTAGTATTATAGACAGGCCAAAATAAAAGTAAGTTTGTTAATATAATTTCAGTGACTCCTTTCAGAAAGATTAGTGAAAGAAAACAAAACAAAACTTTCTTGCTGTTGGTATAAGCAGCTATTCTCAGTGCCATGCAGATTAATTCTGCCAGATTTCTTGTTTGTCATTTTTCATGCAACGTTTTATTCAGAGCATTAAGTGTCTCACAATTAAAATTTTAACTAACCTTTAAAGTTTCATCATTGCCTCCTACATCTTCAAACTTCACTGAAGGGTGGTAAAGCTCTGGTCCCTTACTTCTAACTGTTAAGGAAGAAAAGTTATGCAAATTTAGACATGGCGTAACAGTAGTTGCTAACACCGAAAAAGAAAGAACTCAGCCTACGGAATTAGCTAAGTACACGGAGTAGTATTATTTTTTGGTAGTAGACACAGGACTGGAGTATTTTTTAGTACAACAATTTAAGGTTAAATTTCTTAACAAAATGCTTGAAGTCACTTCTCTGCACCCCAGTGTAAAACACTTCTCTGGTAACAGGATTCAACAGTCAAATACCATCTCTTTGTTTGGAGCAGCACGCCAAAAATAACTTCTCACCTTTCTCTTTAAGTAAGATAGCATCAATTTCTCCATCTACATCTGGAAATTCTTCTTTTTTTCTTTTTGCTCTCTTACCCTTTGTTTTCTTTCTTTCACTCTCCAAGACAGAGCACTCTGCTGATTTCTAGGGCATAAAACCAGAATTATATATATAAAACCTTCCAAGTCAGTGAATTTCTGCAAATACTTAAAGGAACAAAATGTGGAAGTGTCTATAATGCTTACCTTACACGTATTATATGAATAAAGACAAGCAAGCCAGGAATTTAACCCCTTCTTTTTGTAGAAAATACTTTAACTTAGGATTTGTCTTTTTTCAAGAGGGTTAATTACACCAGTCACTTTTTTTTGCTAAGAACATACACTTAAAAGCAAAAAAAACCCTCAAACAACCCCCCCTCAAAAGCCCCCAAACCACTAACCAAAATCAGACACCAGTTACTTGCATACCATAGAGCAATCCGTTTTGGGGATGAATAAAACTGTATTAATGTATTTATATTATTTATAATAATGTATTATTATATTAACTGTATTTCCAGTGGAAACAATTTTTATTAGTAGTACGTTATGAGTTACTATGAGAAAATATTCAGTACTTACACAAGTTAACTGCATATAAGGAAAGGACTAATACAGGAGAAAAGAAATAAAAAGATGTTCAATGATGAAGGGGGGGGCTGTTGTTTTTTTTGTGTTCAGTGTTTTATTTTTAAATACAGTATTGCAAACATTTTACAATTTGAAGATCTCCCTTTTATTCAATTTCTCTATATAAGAGGATGCAGTACGACTAGGATAAAAGGATGATTTGTCAAATCTGCCTATTCAGTAAGCATTTTCTCCAATTAGAAAGGTAGATGCAAATGTAGTTCTTACTTCAGATAAAAAAAAGAGCGTCCTGCCAAAACATCTGGTCAGACAAACAACATAAATGTTATCTCCCACACATATATCAAAAGTTTTCAATAGCTAAACAAAGTTGGTTTTTATTAAGAAAGAAAAAAACCTGCTGGGGGATATCACAAAGCAGGCAATATTTCTGAATGGGGTGTAGCACCTATTTTTAACTGCTTTATAAATCAATGCAATTTCCTTTCAACTTCGCCAACTCTTGCCCATCCACAAAACTTCAGCTTTCTCCAGGCTCACCAAGACTTAACCGCTCGCTAAGGGAGACCACAGGCTATGGCTACAGCAAGCCACATGCTTCCTAACTAGTTAGACTGGTCACTGGCAAACAGAGTAAGTATCAGCTAAGTTCCACTTATCTTTCTCTCAGTATGGACACTAATCTGGGTCTCCCTAATACTGAGCACTACATTCCTCAAAAAATGTGGAGGAAATTATGAATTTCATGACTTTTGACCTCCCATACAAACATGCTTGAAACAGGCCGGAAGGTTCAAAAATCACTTCTGACACAGCAGAACAATGGGCTAAGCCCTTTCTTCAGAAACCAAGCTAAAAACAAGTACTCCACTGGGCTTAAGACAATCTTTCCTTTCTATTTAACATGTTCACTATTTTTAAACACAGCATGCATGTTTGTAATAAAAATAATGTGTTTTAAAAATCCAGGAAGACAGACAGTCCTTTTGGTCTTAGTATCACCCTTCAAAAGCTGGTCAAATTACACAGGACATTATATTCATGCTTGCTACTTAAATCACATCGGGTTTGTAAAACACAGTACCTCAAAAATCAGTTTCTTTCCATCTCCTTCTCCATCCTCAGAAAGGTCAGTGAAAAAGTCTTTTCCACACGGAGTTTTATCAATGAACCAGCCCCCTTCAGAGGTGCGTGTTTCAACTCTTACTCCTGGTGAGAGGGTGCTTGTTTGAGGTGCTGTTTGCACAGGAGGGGGGGTTTCCATTCGTTCATTTTTTGGAGTGGTTGGAACAGAATTGGGATTTCCTTTCTTGTATAAGCTGAGCAGGGAACTGTTCATGTGATTTGTAGACTGCAGATTAATGTATTTTAGAAGAAAATATACAGATTATAACTTGGGATTGTTTATATTAAGAGGCCAATGAAAACTACTTCATAAACATCATTTAGCATTCTCCCTGCTGGAGAAAGTAGTTATGCATCTTCCAACCCACTGAAAACCAAAATGACTGCATACAAAACTACATCTTCTGGTTGAAGACACAGCAGCCTTTGTAATTTACCCTGAAATGACCCTGTTAACTGACAGTCACCTTATAGTAATAGTCAGATATGTCAGTTCCTTCAATCATTTCATTCATTTGATAGCCAAGTCTTTTGGGCCCTCAGTGTGCTTTCCTCAAAAGTGATTCCCCACGATAGGTTCTTCCTTTTTCTTCAGAAAATACCTCCTTTTAGCTCTATATATTCTCCGCTGGAATTGCCGACTCTGACTATACCTCATCTTCATCTCTACTTTTAAACCCTCCAGGTGCATTATAATTTCACAACATAGAATAATGTGTTCTGCAAATACAAATGATCATAATAAAATAAAACTTACTAGATCTTCTGGATAATCATCGTAATCAGAGTCATCTGTGGCACTTCCTGCAGTCCTTTACACGGAAGGAAGACAAAAACTATTAACATATCAGAGCAGAACTGCAAGCGAGACACCCACAAAACAGAACAAATGCAATTTCCACAACGTGGTTCCCCACAACCATGGTAAGTAGCCTAAGACTGGAGAAAAAAATCCTGACTAGCATGCTCTAAACTTATTACTGTGAAGGGTTAAAAAATGCATCCTTTCCAAGTTTGTGATGAGTTGGATCAACCTGGCAACCTGGCTGAAAGACAATCCTAAAAAAAAAGTGATGTCAGATCAATCTGATTCAGTTCACCAAGACATCACACAATTACCAACACTGTCACACGAGAAGTGGTAGCAAATCACTGCTGAACTAGACTAGTCCTTCTGATTACAATGTCTTAATCTTCCCATGAGACCCTTGATATCTATCACAGGTTACAGAAACCAGAATGGTCCATGAGACTATACACAGGGTTAGGAGTTAGGAAATCTGAATACTAGTCTCCTAGCCAATGGCTATTTGCTCTGAATTGCTCGTCTTGCAGTCTTATCTCTCAGATTTAGCCAATATCTTTCACACCCAAGAAAGATTAAGAACAAAACAAAGGAACTGAATCATATAAGGACTGGGCCCTTGTACAGAAAACTATCAAGGAAGCTCCAAGGATATTCACTAATTCAGGGCTGTATGTTCCCCATAACGGAGAAATCATGATTGGCTCTAGTATCTGCTTGTCTTCAGTGAAAAAAGTGCTTCCCTTAACTACAAGTAACTTTTGATGAAGACAAGCCTATGGGAAATCAAGGATCTATCTGTAACCTTGAAACTACCAAAATTTAATAAGATGAAGACAGCATTTTTTTAAAGCTTTCTAAATGCTAATGGCATTATTAAAGTAATCTAATAGTAAAAATTCTTCTTACTCATTTTTGTCTTGTTGTCTTGCTCTTTTTGCCACATGTTCAGCTTCTAAAACTGCTAAATCTTCACGTTCTTTTTCATTACTGATTATTCCAAACACTGGAAGAAAAAGTTTCAAACATGTTAAGAAAACAGCCAAAGCATAATCAAAGAATTTCGCGTCTTGGACATAATACTAACAGAATTACCTTTCTCAACTTGTATTCTAAAAGCATTTCTTTTTCTTCGTCCATATTCTGCACTGAAAAAAAACCAAAATAAACAAGTTACACCTACTGCTTTTCCCCCTCAACATATTGTAAGTTGATACCCAAGCTTCTACACAAGTTCTTATTAAAAACCAGCTATGTGAAAGCATGTTTCTTTTTTCTTAAGCCTGGAATAGCTCAATCACTGGAATGAAACAAAGCCACTAAACTATACTTGTCTCTAAAGGAATGTTTACTAAAAATTATCATGGTCCTCTTTAACTGTAGATATAGAGAAGCAGCAATGTACAAATGAGCACACTGGATTCTATTTCACAACACTATCAATTTTTAAATTTTAATTCAAACAAGGACATCAGGACATAGGACTACTATCTAGAAAGGACAGTCCAGTGAGGAATAACTGTGATAATTAATAATGGTCACTAGGAGGAAATATGATTCAATGAGCATCCTTAAAAGCAAACAAAAATCATCAACCTTTTATCTTCACTTACTGAAGGTATATTTTATTTATTTGCTTTTACACAACAGCTGAGAGAAGGAAAAAAAAAAACCCCAAGACCTGTAAGCATCCCAAGCAAGGGTTTTGGTCCCTTTCTCTAACTCTAACAAGGCACAAATAAATAGAACATGAATAAATATACTTCTCCACCTTCATTAACTCCCACACTCATCAATGATCTGCTGAAACACAACCTTGCTCCCCACCCAGAAAAGCATAACATCCTAAAAATAATGTGGCAAGACTGACAGTCCTGCTGAGCAAGATTTAATGTCTTACTGAATCCTGTATGTCCCCCATCTGCCTGCACTGAAGTCTTGTTTTCCTTCATATTTTAAGCTCCCTGAGGTAAGGGCCAACATGCAGTAATGCATCTGTAACCATTTAATTAAAAAAAAAAAAAAAAGCAGCAACCCACAAAACCCAAACCACAACTAGATCTTCCAATACCAATGCATTAATAAAATATAAGTTACTAAATATGTATCAGAGGAAAACACTGGAGTGGAAATGATCTTACTGTTTCAATCAACTGGCAATGAAGTTAACACAAAGAAAATTAAGATTTTTATTAAAAATACACAAATGCAAAACAGCAAGATAACACAGTCCATATTTTTAATGTAGAATATAAGAATACAAATCTTTGCTCACCTGTATGTTTTCTGCAAATCAGATGCTAGAATTCCAATGTCAACATACTGGCCACATTTACTACTTGCAAGATACTGAAATGAAGAATTTTAAGCAGCAAATAAAATCTTTGTCAATTATTTAATCAGAACAGCTAGTCCAAATATGCCTATTTCAAATGGTACCCTTCTTGGAAGTCAAAATGAAAATCAGAAACAGCTTTGAACTGCCTTGGAACCCACTAGAGAATATTTCCTAATGAACTGTTTCTAAAGATGCAGCTAACTAGCTGGCTACATTTCCCTGGGAAAAGGAGCATCCTATATTCTGGTGCTTGTGCCTTCTGCTGGTGCAACTCCGTTGTTTTCATTTAGTATGGAAAATCACTTTGTAACTCACACACCATCTTATTATCAATCCTTCTAAACTTCTTGATTTCTCTCAGTTAATCTTCTTTTGGTTTAGAACTCCTACCTTAAAAATGGGACAATCTACACCAATTAGTATGGATACCGTCATGATAAGAACTTTAATCTTTGCAAGATGTTTCAAAGAATAATATAGAAAAGTATATAAATGAAAGTGAATTGTATCAAGCCTTTTTTTTTCCTGACAGCAGCTGTTTCAACACATTTTTGAATCACAAATTGTGAAAGTGTGAGAAAATCTACTACAGTTCAGGTACAATTGTTCTCCATTTGCTTTCTTCCTCCACTCTCCAGATAAGTTCACTGTAATGGTGAATGCTTTCTTAAAAAAGCAAGAGGAGATAGAGAATCTCCTTCTAGCAGATATGGTATCACAAATGTCACAGCAAGGAGAATTTCAAAATATCATTTAAATTAATAACTCTACTTAAAACAATCAAATTGCTTAAAAATAAACATAGAATTATTTTTAAAAAATATGTTAGACGTCACGTCACTCATGGGCAGCTACTGACCTGCAGAAAATACCAAGCCTACCATAAATCCAGCTGGTTCTTCCATTTCAGATCAGTCAAGACATTAATTACTGTGATCTTGCAAAGGAAAATAAGCAAGCTCCTTCAAGCAGCTGCTCACATTTTAAGGAATTAGAAGCAGAGTACACTTATACACAGACACAGACAAATGGTGTTTAATTTGCAAAGTCGTCATAAATATTCATAAAATATAACACAGCACTATGCCACCTGAAGGAATCACTGTTCTCCCCACTCTTCACACGTGTGTTATGGAAGCAATCACATTTTTTCCCTTTCTTCACTCATTTAATATAATCGATGTATATGTTTCCAAACTCAAACACTTCGAATTTGCATAGATCTACCCAGAGTATATATTTTTTTTACTATTCATTTCATGCTTGAAATAGCAGCCAACTTCAGGATCAGAAGTATCGAAGAAGATAGAAGAAAGTAACAGAACAAAACAAGCAAAAAAGAAAAAAAAAGAAGAAAAAAAGACCTTCTTCAATGTCTTTTTAAAGCCTTTTTTAAAGTCCTGAGACACGAGGCCGGGTTTGTGCCGCTGG